TTTGGTTCCTTTACATCTTCTCTCCCAATGAAAGCGTGATTTTTGACCCAATTTTCAGATTTATTGAAAAAGTCACCACAATTGGAAGCTGGAACACTGACTGGAAATGAGATGATATTGTGAGATTATTGATTTGTTGTAGGCAGAGTAACAATTTTGTGGCAAGTTTTTAAAAAGAGTCTTTAGAGATTCATATTGAAATATTTATGGATGCAATTATATGATTTTGGGATTTGCTTTAAAATAATATATTTGGAGGGAAGGGAAGTGATTGGGCATGTAAATGAAACAGGATGGCCTTGGGTTGCTAACGTTGAAACTAGGTGATGAGCGCACGGGGAATCATTATATTATTCTAGACTTTTTGTATGTGTTTGAAATTTTACACAAAACAAAAACTAAGAGAACATGAAAAGGCTGGATTCTCTCCATTTTGTACTCACTTTCCTTTTGTCTGCCTAGTCTATTTTTTGTCCGCTTGCCTTCCATCGCTGAGCACTGAGACCTCAGAAGACAGGGGGCACACTCTGTCCTGTGTCTCAGAAGTCTTAAGTAGGAGGGGCTTTGAGCATGCCCTGTAAGATCAAGGCTCTCTTAGGGTGTACCAGATGAGATGTGCACACGGTCTGTTTTCACCTTGCATGTGACACGTGTCAAGTGTACTGTTTACCAGGGACATCAAAATGTTTCCCACATTATTTCTCATTACATTGGATAGGAGACAAAACAGACAGAATCTTCACATTAGAAAAACATGACCCATCAGAACCATGATCCTTGTTACAGAAATGAAATCTACCCTCAGCGATAAATACATGTCCTGGATGGCTCAGCCACTCCAACATGCACCAAATTCCTACCACGTGTGGATTACTACACTGGGCCCTGGGAAGGATAAAAACAAAGCAGAACAACTAGTTATGGTCTTGGGGAAGCACAATCCCAAGGCAGGAAGTCAGACTATAGGTCCAGGGATGACTTGAAGACACTTATAAACTAACATGCAAGTAAAAAGATGGAGCTAGGACAGTGCAGATATGAGTGATAGCTAATGGTGGTGGGTCGGCAGCTCCCCAAATGTGCCTGAGACTGTCAGCAGGTGCTCAGTAAACATCTGCTGAGTAAACATTAAATGAATGAGACAATTAGGGAACCCTTCCCACCAAAATCTGAGCAAAGCTATAAAGACAAGAGGGATGCGGTCAGGGAGAAGTGGTGCTGGTTGTGCTGGATTAGAGCGTGGAGCAAAGGCCTGTCTGAGCCTCCAGCAACAGTTCTCAGCTGGGGTGCCCCTTCTTCCAAGCTCAGGGGTGTCTGGGACTAAGGAGGGATGTTTCTGCGTGTTCCATTCCTGGCAATTAGTGCCTGGGGCCAGGCACTAATTGGGACCTTTCAAAGGTCAGGAAGGTCCCCTATACGATGAGGAACAGTCCCCTGAAAATGACAAGGGTGTTTCTGTGGAGGAACGCTGCAGCAAAGTGGGAATGAAAGACAGAGCTGACAGAAGTGGCATGGAGAACATTAGCTTCTGGGCCTAACCACAGGAAGTGAAACTAATTTAATAACAGGAACTTAGATAATTTCCACAGGGATATAACCACAGTGATTTAGGAAAACACATAAAATCTGCTGAACTGGGCACTGAAAGTTTCCCATTCTGGGTGAGGATTTGCCATTTATTTATGTTATGGACCCTAAGTTTGGCCCTCACCATACGGCTCAGCTTCCAACTACTCTTTCTGCCCTAAATACAATGATGAGGGAGTTAGGCCCATGTCCAGGCTTCTGGAGACAATCCACAGGTTACTGCCTGTCCTTCTCTGGATTCCAGTGTCATACAATCAGTTCAAGAGAAGAAAGAAGATCTACAGAGCTTTCTGTTGAGGACACCCAAGGAAGTAGAATGAGGCGGAAGAAAGAGGTGAGAAGCCTGAGGAAGGTTTTGGCGACCAGGAGCCCCTCTGACACCTCAGAGGATGGGGCTATCCTCTCTCCTCTCACTCCTTTCTCTGTGCCAGCCCAGGAGCACGCTCACCAAAAGCACCCAGCAGGTGATGGGCATTGTTTCCAGGTTTGTCTCCTAAAGGGTTCTCTTATCACTCAGCAAGATAGCTTTCACTCTCAGCAGCTACACGTGAACTTAACTCTGGACTCTTAACTCTGGCTAAACATACAGAAAGTATTTTGAACTCCCCAAAGGAAGGACATCATTTTGGCACAAAGCACTGGACACTGACTCTTTCGGGAATTACAAAAATCATAAGAGATGTCACTGAAAGTTCAAGAGAAATCTTTAACATGGCATGTGACTTTTCCCCTAGCCTGGGCTGTCAATATTTAAAAAGTCTATTGACTTTTTTCTCTCCTGCTTCTGAGTACTTCCCGCTGACTTCTGTGATAAGGAAGCAGTGCTTACTGAGGTGAAGCCTATAAGAAAATGATTTAAAAAGCAAAACAAAACAAACAAGAAAGAAACTCAGCCACTTGACCATCACTGGTGTGGTGTGGCCCGAGTGGTGGTACCTGCTGAAGGTCACTGCACGAGACTGATGCTGGCCACGTCCCCTAACACAGGCTGAGCTGGAAGCCTGGAGCAGGGGCTGCTTTCCTCTAGCAGATGGACGTGCTGCAGTGACTGAAAGGTCTTTTTTGGGCTTAGACATTGGACATCCTACCAGTCGCTAAGCAATGACTTTCTGTGATCCTCACTCTTCAATCTATCCCCTCAATGTTTACTACCACACACTTAACACTATGGTACTTGGCACATCGACTGCCTACACCATGAGTTTTAATGCCTGATTTTGACTGTGCTCTTTAATATGCAGTTATTCTAAAGCATTGCAAAACTTTAAAGGATGCCTCATCATCCATGAAGAAAGGACCTGAGAGTATGTTAAATGTTTTAAATAATACCTTGAGAGAAAAAAAAAAAGCTTTATGGCATTAGACTAAAAGTATATGCCATATACCAAAAGCAACAGCTGCCAAAATTTTTTTCGACTGCCTACTTTTTTTAAATATACTTTGGCTTTTGGACACTATTTTCTTTTACTGTTGGAAAATAATAAAATAAATAAACATTGGAATTAAATTGCAGAGAAAAAATTACTTAGGTGACTCATAACTGAAGCCTGAAAAATGACTCATAGTAAACTAGATGAATTGCCCAATTTCCTTCTTTCAAGAGTCATACGTTACAGCAACCATATTTCTCTCTTCCTAAATCATCTGTGCTAGTAACTTTCCTCTCATCTAGTTCTCAGCAAAATAGGTTGAGAGGGTTAAGAGAATCTTCATTGATCTTTCCTGAGTTCATTACTCATTCAGGAATGACTCTGAAGTGTAAGTCTAGGAGACAAAACAAGTTTTCTGCCAGAAATAATCATTTTTCAGGTTCTCTTCAAGAGATGACATCTTCTCTCTGTCTTCATTACAGCAAGCTTGGTGCTTGGCACTTAATCAGTAGGCATTCAGGTTTCAAGGTATGCTAAATAAATTACCAGTAACAATTTGTTATTAAAGGAAAATCAGAGAGGAAATGAAGTGCCCTTATTGTAACTGGGTGGAGGGTAGGACAAATTCATAGATATTGTAGTGGGGAGAACAAACAGAAGAGACTGAAATTCAGAGGAGTACCAGGATGATCCAATGTCTTTCTTACTTGATAGAATCAGAACTAACATGTGGACAACTCTATAATCCAATCTGAAGTACGTAAGACGTGCAAGTAATATGCTCTGCTAAGGCAACAATCAAAATAGACAAAGCTCTTGCCACACTGTACTAAGGGTCTAGAGGTGAGTTGGACAAAAAGATAAACATACACAAACATTCTAGATTATAGGGGCTAAGACTGAAGAGGAGAGGGTGCTGTGAAACACTGTGAGGGGGCCTCACCTGGAATGTAGTAGAGGAAGACTCGCTATGTAAGGGATAACACAGCTGATGCCTGATGGGTAAAGAGTAGTTACTGAATCAGAGGGATGGGAGTGGGTGGGGAAGGAAGGGCTCTGTGTAGGTCTGGATCCTCGCTCAGTTGAAGGCCCACAAGAAGGTCAGTCGTGGGGGAACTCAGTGAGCGGTGAGGATAGTGGCAGGTCCCAAAGGCTTTGGAGGTCAAGTGAAGGATTTTGAACACTATCCACAGGGCAATAAGAAGTCACTGAATGATTTACATTAGGGGAGGTTGGGTGAAGGACGATGAGACCTGTCTGTATATTTTTTTTGCATGTACTAGTGAATTTAAAATTAAAATGAAAGAGGAGGGAGTGAGGCAGTATGATTTACATTTTTCAAATATTGCTCTGGCTTCTGTGTGGTGAATGGATTTGGGCAGGAAGGGACAAAGTTTGAGGTTGTTGCAGTAATCCAGGCAAGAGAAGTGCGTGGTAGCACTGGATATGGAGAGAGTTTGTGGAGGTAGAACTGAGGAAATTCATGGCCAGTTGGATGTGGCAGGCCAGGGGAGGTGGCAGGAATGAGTTCCAGACTCTAGCCTGAGCC